ATCCAGCCTTTCCATGCCTGCGGGTAAAATACACGACCCCGTGGAACTTTCGACGGGCAAATTATTTCGAGAACCACAAAGTCTAAGAAGCTGAAATTTTATGGATATATCGTTAGGAGCCAAACAACATTTCAACTATTTTTGCATTGACCAAAGTGCAAAGCAGTGAAAATCATTAGCAAGCAATCATTCGGTGGAAGGAATTGCACAAAACGCTTAATCACATCGGGTGGTGCGCGCCGCTATTTATTTATTTTTTTGCATTTTCCCCCTGAAATGAGTATGTTCATTTCCGGCTTTTCTACTGATCCCACATTCTCCATTGTCATTCAGCAGTGACTGGATGCAGGGCTGCTATCTTTTACCTCGGGGATCTGAGAAGCTAGAATGCTGGAATCTTAGGGTGATGTTCCCCATCCAAGTAGGTGTTGATGCACTGAAAACCATCCCCCGGTTAAGCGTGGTACCCGCGTACGGGCCCGCCAAAAATTCTTTTCGGTAAGTTCATAACTCGGGAATCTGAGAAGCTAGAATGCTGGAATCTTAGGGTGATGTTCCCCGTCCAAGTAGGTGTTAATATAGTGAAAACCATCCCCGGTTAAGCGTGGTATCCGCGTGCGGGTCCTCCAAACCAAGAGTTGACGTGGTTTTTCACTAAAAAAATAAATTCAGTCAGATTAATAGAGGATAGCCAACGATTTTAAGACCGATGCATTGGCGGAAAAAGTGGAAATGAAATCTCGAAATTCGACTGCTCATTCTTGATAGGCCTGATTCATTGCAGTATGTGAGTCGAGAACATGCGTTGTACAGTGGCGATGGCTTACAGAATAGTGCAAGGGCGAAATATCACCGTGATTTGTACATACAATCGATGGAACATCACACCGATTGGGTGAACGATATGGTGCTGTGTTGCGACGGCAGAAATCGTCAGCTTTCGCTATTTTTCGAAAAAAATAGCAGTTTTTCATATACAGTAAAGTTATAAACACAATCGAAGGGGAAAAGCCTTTCGTGTAACGGGCCTTTTCCCCACACTCGAGCTTTTTGTGAACTATGAAGTTTTCGAAGGGGACAGACTTGCCAACCGTATTAATCCCCGCTCTATTTTTAGAAGCAAATTACCACCCAACCCGGAGCCCTTTTGCTTTCAAAAGGGAATAAAGACCTTTCAGAAGGCGAGCTTGCCCATGGTGCTGAAGCATCCTCTGTTTCCGTTAAAAACGCCGGAATTTTGTGCCGAAGAAGTTTGCTTTGTTAAAAGTCTAGACCTTTATATTTCACTGATTGAGAAACGGAGACATTCTGAAAGGCGTATCGCGTGGGTAATTCCATCAACCCCAAGGCTTCTTGGGTTATGACCAGGGTCGGTCATCCCCCGAAATGAGAGATGTAAAGGCGAGGCTTTCGTCTTGCCTCCCTACCCCCAATCGCAGTTACAAAATCCAAAAATAAAAATTAAGACATCTTTTGATGACATTCCAGCCGAACTTTGGAAACCAACGTTCCCATTAGAGATCGGTTCTTCGACAGGGATCTGACTCTCCGTTCCTAAAACCACCTTTTTCCCCGCCTTCGGGCAAATGCATCACCGTAGTCATGTTGGCGGCTTGGTTGCTGTTGAAATTCTTTGAAGTGGCCCGGGTGATAGCATATTTCAGCAGTAACCAACCCACTAACATGGCTATTGGTACTGCATTCGTCCGAGGGTTATTCTTGGTGGCAATGTAGAAGCAAACGAAACAGATCACAGATATTTGTGTTTTAATTTCCTTTTTTTTCAAAAGTTCTTCTTTTTGCTACGGTTAACAGCTGGGCCCGGGTGTTGCAGTGATTTCGGCATCAAGCGATACAACAGTGAAAGTTTGGAATGCACAGAAAGGCTTTTGTATGTCCACATTGCGAACGCATCGTGATTACGTACGTGCCCTGGCATATGCGCGTGACATTGAGATGGTGGCAAGTGGTGGCTTTGATCAGCTGATCTATCTATGGGATGTCGCTACACTGACAAAACTAACAGCTCTAAATAACACTGTCACAAGTTGGTCAATATTTTCGTATTTCGAAATTCAA